TAGCAGTTCCAGTAATTCTTGTGCAAGGTTTCCCTATAAGGCTTCATCTCCATTAATTCATCTCACCTGAGTTGCTGTTCCTATAAGCTTGAGACCTTAGCTTTCAGTCAGAGGAAACAAATAGGAACTCTTCCTTAACAGACAGCTAAGAAATTACTGTGAAACATAAGAATGGCCGTACTGGGTCAGACTAAAGGTCCATCTAACCTAGTATCCTGTCTGCAGACAGTGCCCAATGGCAGATGCCCCAGAGGGAGTGAACACAACAGGTAATCATCACATGCTTCCCATTCAAATGAACCAGTCTTCAGAGGTCAGAGCATCAGGGTATTAGTGTACAGCCACTCCCCGAGTTGCGAACGGTCGAGTTACGACCGTTTGCACTTACGACCAAAGCTCCCATGGAGCGGTCGTAAAGGTGGTCCCCAAGTTACAAATGCGACCCGCGCTTACGAACAGCGCGGTCGCGTGTAACTCAATGGGGTCCGACTTATGAACAGCTCGAGTTACAGCCAATTGTTTGGTCTGTAACTCGGAGAGAGGCTGTAACTGTGTTATTGAGCTCCTATTTTTGAGATTTCATAACCAACCAAAATTAATCCTATTTGTTTAATCAAGCATGTTTAACTGGTAAACTGATTAAACAGGAGGGACTGGCCATGCCAAGCCCTGGGGGGCTGGGGCAGCCTCCTGACTATGGGGGAGGGGGACTGCTCCAGCCCCCCACCAGCTACCATAACCAGTAGCATCACCTGATAAGGGCAATGTTTACTGTTTAACTATTCACATCCCTATTAAGCAAAAGCTTATAGGTTAATGCTATAGACCATATACATTCCACCCCTGCAGCAGTCATTTTTTTAGCAGGCTGGCCAACAATATGGCTCAGTCCCAGCTTCCACCAGGTCTGGGACCTACCCCCACAGTAGCTCTGTATTTAATGTGTATTGGGAGGCAGGCAGACAGGCAGCCCAACTCAGTTCCAGCTCGCACTAGGTCGAGGAGCTTAGACCCCACCCCTGGACAGGGGTTGCTGCAGGGCAGGGTGGCAGGCAGCCCGTCTGCAAGAGGGGATGGTTTTTAAACTAGCTCCCCTCATGGACCAGCCCCTGCCTGGCACAGCACACTAAGCAATAAGAATTCATGGTTAACTGTTCAATTAACCAATATTTAACATCCCTAATACCTATTCTTAATGAAACACAGCTAATTCAGGCCAACATCTGTGCCATGTAAGAGGAAGGAAGATGCTAATTTTTAAACAGGAACATTTTGAAAAATGTTTGTATGTAAAGGTAATTCATGCTCATAGGAGCTATGTGGCTAAAGCACTGTGCCATTTAAAAGTATTTTTAAAAATATCCTAACAGTTTCCTTTTGTACATTGATTTGATTAACTTGGAGGCAGGAATACCAGCAAGACTTCAAACATAGATCTTCAACATGAAGAGGTGAGCAGGACAATTTATGGCCTGCTATAACTCACAATATGATCAATTTTAATGTTTGGGGATACCAAAGAGATTGTTTCATTTGTTCTAGTACCATCATTAGCAGCAATATAAATGATGGAAAACATCTCAAATCCCACCATACAGCTCCTTGCTACAGTCCCTTCTCCCTGCAGCGCTGCCTGCTAAGTGTGTGGCTGCAAAAATCTTTGGGAATGGAGCTTGGGTAAGATAGTTTTTTGAGGGTTTCTGTATGTTATGGGGGCTAAAATGCAGCAGTACAATAGCAGAGGCTCTTCCTACAAGAAAGCCTCCTGGGCTGCGTCTAGACTGGCCAGGTTTTCCGGAAAATCAGCCGCTTTTCCGGAAAAGCTTGCCAGCTGTCTATGCTGGCCGCTTGAATTTCCGCAAAAGCACTGAATCTCATGTAAGATTGTCAGTGTTCTTGCGGAAATACTATGCTGCTCCCATTCAGGCAAAAGTCCTTTTGCGCAAAAGGGCCAGTGTAGACAGCTCAGATTTGTTTTCCGCAAAAAAAGCCCCGATCGCAAAAATGGTGATCGGGGATTTTTGCGGAAAAGCGCGTCTAGATTGGCACAGATGCTTTCCACAAAAAGTGCTTTTGCGAAAAAGCGTCCATGACAATCTAGACGCTCTGTTCCAAAAATGCTTTTAACGGAAAACTTTTCCGTTATAAGCATTTCCGGAAAATCATGCCAATCTAGACGTAGCCCTGTTGTATCACTTCTATACTGGAATAATTCCTGAATAAACTCTTTTTTCCCCGCATAATTTCCACAGGGGGAGCTCTGGGGTCGCTTTCCTCCTGCAGCTGCTGCCTGGCTCAGTTTTACAGGATTGATACCATCAGAAATCAGCATCCAGAGGCTGAGCCAACTCTTAAATTGACGTCACACTCCCCGCTCGCTGCCCCCCCCTTCTCCTTTTCTCGCCAGCAGCCGAGGACTCGAGCTGTCGCGCGCGAAAGGCCGGGGCCCGAGCACACGAGTTCGCGCCGCCCCGCCCTGCCGCACTTACGGCCTAGGGGCCGAGTGACTGTTCCCCTCCCCCGCGTACCGCCCAGCCCACGAGCGGCCCGGCCCCGCCAGAGCTACGAGCCTCCTGCCTCAGAGCGCGGCCCGGCCAAGGCTACGCTACAGGCGGGTCTGTCGCGCCCAGCGCACGTGCCCTGCTCCGCCCCCAGCCGGCGGGCACCTGCGGCAGCTTCCGTTATCCAATAAGAGAGCAGAATTCATACCGCGTGAGTCAGGCCCGTCCCATCAGCCAACGCTTCACACACACGCTAGTGAGGGAAAGGGGGGAAGAAACCCCGCCCCTGTGCATTGCAATGGGCACGTGATTCGAGGGCGTGGCCTCTGGAGGGTCACATGATGTGAAGCGGAAGTATTTGGGCTCTATGGTTTCTCTCGAAGACTCTCCCTTCTTCTCTATG